GGCGCCGAGGGAGGGGGCGGGGCCGCGCCGCCCTCGCCGCGCTGGGCGCTCTCGGCCAATGAGCGGCGTCCACATGCCGCGGTGGCGGCGAGAGGGGAGGCAGCGGCCGATAAATGCTATTAGAGCAGCCGGCGCGGAGCCGTTCCCAACGCCACCTCCTGTCTCCTCCGCCGCAGTTTCCTCCGCCGCTGTCGGCGGGTGCGGAGCTGAGGGACCCGGGCGACCGTCGCGCACTTCCCCGCCTGTCTCGCTCCGTTCCGCCTTAAGGGCTCGGCCGGACGTCCCCTCCCCAGGCCGGCCAGCGGGTCACCTCAGTCCCGCGGGCAGGGGTCCGGGGCCCGGAGCCCGGGGCCGAGGCCTGTGCTGCCGGCTGCGAGCTGAGGGCGACGCTCCCGTGACGCGGAGAGGAGGTTTGCATCCCCTCGCGCGCCGCGGAGCCCGGGCGGGCGCCGGCCAGGCCGGGCCGCGTGCGGTGGTTGTCTGGGGGAGGGGGCGCGGGTGATTCAGCGCCCCGCCAGGCGGAAGCGGCCGCCGTCGCCGCGGCGGAGGAGGAGGAGGAGGGGACAGCTGTCCGCGCAGGGGCACCCGCGGTGGCCCGAGCCCGTGGCCCGCGTGCTAGGCGGAGGAGAGGAGGCCGCGGGGACGCGAGGCGAGGCCGGCCGGGGCGCCCGCAGCCATGGAGAACGCTCACACAAAGACGGTGGAGGAGGTTCTGGGCCACTTCGGCGTCAACGAGAGCACCGGGCTAAGCCTGGAGCAGGTCAAGAAGCTCAAGGAGAGATGGGGCTCCAACGGTAGGTGCCCGGCGCCTGGGTTGCTGCGGCGCGGGCCCGAGCGCCAGAGAAGATGGCTGACTCGGCTCCACCTAGTGGGGCTCGGCCAGGCGTCCGCCGACGGCTGCGAGTAGCCAGGCTGCCGGCGCGCGGGGCCCGGGCCTCCCTCGACCTCCAGGGGCTCGAGCCCTTGACCTTCCCGGCGGGCTGCGAGCTTCTCCCTGCGCCCCGGGTGCAGGGAGGGACGCGGCTACTGCTGCTGGGTCGAGTCCTGCGAGACATTGGCTCATCCCCAGCCGGTTTATGGGGCGTCGATGGAGTTGAGAAACCCTCCGGCCGTTCCCTGTCTTCCCCAGAGTTGCACGGCTGGCAGAAGTGATGACCCATCTGAAACGGCTACGTGGTTTGGGAGGCCTGAGTGATCTTGAGGGCAGGACCCGTGCCCATTGATGACCAGGACTGCTTGTTTTGTTGGGGTGTCATTTTAGGGTGGTTTCTACTAAAAGAGGAAAAAAAAGATGAACGTTCATGTAGCTAGATCTTTCAGACACCAGCAGTGGCGATTTTAGCAGTATTTACAAAGTGCCAATAAAATGCCTTTTTTTCCCACCCTTTCTCTCCCGACGCGTTGCCTGGCGAATTTCGACATTCTAGAATTACCGGCTGAAGAAGGTAAATAACCTTAACATTTTGGAGAGACTGAGCGCGGGTGCGGGTGTGCACACTGATTGATATGGACAAAAATGACATATGTGTTTGTTTCTAACAGGAAAAACCTTGCTGGAACTTGTGATTGAGCAGTTTGAAGACTTACTAGTTAGAATTTTATTGTTGGCAGCATGTATATCTTTTGTAAGTATAAAAAAATTATTTTCTCTGCTCACAGAAGCCGAAAGTATTCTGTCGGTAAACCAGAAAACAAATGATCGCCTCTGAGTGAAACATTGGAGATTTAAGCTATCTGCATGTTTGAAAAACAAAATAAATTATTAAATTATAAATACAACACTTGAAGCTGTTTTGTTCAGAAAACAGATGCCTGGCATTTGCAGTGCAGTGAGAAATTGTTCCTGAATGTGCAGGGCCTTACAAATTCTTGGCTTTACAGGATTTAAGTTTTTCCTTGGAAGGCCTTTTCTGTTTGGAGTTCTTCCGTTAGATACTGTATTGTGAGAGCATACTAAGATGATGTTGGGCTTTTTGTTGTCTGTAAATAGAATTTACAGAAGGAAAGTTGCAGTTGCTTTGCCTTTCTGGAGGTGGCAAGGTGACAGTTGTTCCTGACAGTGACAAGAATGATGACCACACTGATGGCACCATTGTTGACCAAATTTGGTCACTGACCTTTAGGGTGGTATCTAGACTGGACCCCTGTCTTGGGTGATTCCTAGATTGAGAGAACAAAGTTCAGTACTGTTGGTTCTAAATATTAAAAGGGGAAAAAAACTAGCAGTGTTTTTTCTTGTTCTGTATGTACTTGCTTGAGTCCCGTATGGTTGCTGAGAAACTAGTGAAATGCAAAGAACCGCAGAAGAAAAAAAGGAGATATAGAGGTGGTGAGATTTCTAGGTTATCAACATTTTTCTGTTCAGTACGTATATATTTTTTTTAATTGCATTTTTTTTCTGGGCATTAAGACTTCATGATACTTTCCTTAAAATGGTAGCAGTGGAACACAGGCGTTCTAATCCTCACAGTGTACACTGCTTTTTGTCCTTAAAGCAATATATTCTTGAATTGTGATAGGATATAACAATCATGAAGCAATACTTGTTTCAGGTTTCACAAAACTGACACAGCTTTAAGATTTTAATTAGGTATATTAACATGGAAGTTGTCCCAGGGATCTAAGATCCGAGTCTTTATGAAAACCGTTAACATAGAGGATTATTTTGAAAACTTTAGTTCAAGTAGAGGAAAGATGAATTTTTAGTTCTCCCTAAAGTAAATATTAGTGGCAAAGGTAACCTTTTGGAGTAATTGTGTACATGAATTCTGCCATAAGACTTGAATATGTCATGTTAGCTAAGTGTTGTATAGCCATTAATAATTCAGTTCCCAAGAATCTCTCCTGTGGTTTTCATTGAAAATTTAGACTGCCATAACAAACCATTCAACCTACTGAGCCATTCACCCTTACACCTTTTACATGTCTGCCTTTTTGTGATTTAATTTTTTTTTAATTTCCCAATGGCCGCGTAATTGGTAAAAAAAAAAAGATAAATGAATAGAGCTTTTGATTATAGTTTGAACACATTGCCATAGGATAAAATAAATGCAATATTTGGGGGTTGTTGAGGTTTTATTTATGCTGGCTACATAATTCTGCAAGTCTATACTTTGGCAGTTAAATGGTAGCATTCACTATAGTCATCAGCGACTTCTTTAAGAAGTTAACCAGATATGTACATGCCAAAAGCACAGTGCATTCTTACTAGGTTATTCTGTTATAATTTGAAGCAGTGTTGGAAGCAATGCCTCTTATAACATGTCAGTAAACAAGTTACTGACTAGTGGGTTTCAGAGGACTCAAATTGTGAGTGTTCAATCTGACTTTTTAACAGAATTAATGTTTTATTCTAGAGTAATTCGGAATTTATTTCTAATATTCAAATTCTAAATAAGCACTTAAAGTTTTTTTGTAAAATAGAATGTTGCCTTTTCAGTGTTTTGTAGCTGAGGATTTGAGTTCATTTTCAGAAATTTGGAATTATGTTCAGGAAATGAACTGCTAATTTTTATTCTATGGATTGTTAAATAGCTAAAAGAATAATTGTTTAAAAAGTACTTTTTTTTTTAAGCATTCGCTTAATTTGCATTTTTTTTATCAAAAAATTGTGGAAATTGTGGATAGGGCTGGGTGGGTCCGAGTTCAAGGCCAGCCTGGTCTATATAAGGAATTCTTCCAGACCATACAGTGCTATATAATGAGACCTGGTCTGGAAAAAAAGAAAAATAATTATGGGTAGATTAAGATACTCTCTAGAAGCCTCTCTAGGATGTACACTATTGTCCTGTTATGTAGCTTCCTCCTCTCTTTTTAATGTCCATGTTTAAATTTGTATTAAAACCACAGTTTCTTTATTTAAAAGAGTCAGAAGGCTGAGGCAAGAACAGCCTGGGTCTGCAGAGTAAGACCCTATCTCATAAACCCAAAAACTTCATAAAGGAAGGAAGGACTAGAAAAGAAATTGGCTAGGTCTTTTATCCTTTATGCTACTACATGGTATTTGGCTTCCTTTCTCTTATTTTTTATTATTGCATATTTATGTGGGTATGTGTGTATATGCTTTTTCACATGTGTGGGTTCACTTGTGTATGTAAATACGTAGGCAGAAGCCAAAGGTTGACAATCCAGATGGTCTTGCTCAATGACAATCTACCTTATATATTGAGGCAGGGCCTTTTGCTTAAACCCAGAGTTCAATGATTGAGCTAACCCGTTTGCCCCAAGGGTCTTGTCTCTGCCTCCCAAGGGCTGAGATTACAGTCATGCTAAGCTAGCTACTATGCCTGCCTGACATTTATGTGGGTGCCTGGGGCCTAGGCTCAGGTCCTTACACTTTTCATGGTAAGCACTTTTACTGTGGAACCATATTGCGGGCCCTGTTTGGTGGTGTAGTGTTGTTTTGAGACAAAGTCTTAGTATTTGTTTCTCAGGTTACCTCAAACTCACTATGTAGCCCAGACTATTCTTGAACTCAACTGTCCTGCCTTAGCCTCCTAAGTACTGGGATTGTAGGCTAATGCCACCAACCTCAGCTCATTTCTTTCTGTATGTTTCAAAAAACAGAAGAGCACTGAGTTATTTGTGGTAGTCAATATTTTCTTAGGAGCTTAACAGGGAAAACATAGAACATTGATGTTCTTTTGCAGAAGTCAATAGCAGTTCTCATAAATCATCAGATCCTACTCAGGTTAAAAAGAATATTAGTAATTTTTTCAACTATCAAACTGGTAAATTGTTAACTATAGTTAATATTTTGCTATGGCAGAAATTAGGAAACTATATTAATATTGTACATATGTGACCCATGGGGATACTGTAATTTGTAATATTTGCCAAAATTGTTTCTTACAAAAGGGTCACTTGCATCCTGGTGTGGTGGTGCATGCCTGTAATCTTAGTATTTATTTGGGAGTTAGGAAGGAGTTCAAGGTCATCCTTGGTTACACAGTGTGAGACTAGTTTGGTTTACATGAGCCCCTGTCTCAAAACTCCCTTTGCAGAACATTAGAATTTTCTTAACTTAGCCTCACTTCATTGAACACTTGCCATGGGAGCTAAGGAATGTAATAGTGAACACAGGGTCCATTGCTTCCAAGAATAGTGTTGTTGAGAAAAACAAAGCAAAGAGGTTGTTAATAGGGAATAACTGTAGAGGGAAGGGTAGTTTTTCAGTGGGTGTTCTTATAAATCCTCAGGGTTACATGACGCTTGAGTAGTCATGAGAGGTGAGCAGTCTTGAGTCTTAGGTCCATCTGTCTAAATCATAAAGTGATATACAAATGATGGAAATCTGCATAGGTTTCTCTACCCTTCACCCCTGTTTCCTATTTTTTTTAATAAATAATTTATTGAGAATTTCATACATGCGTATAAGGTATTTTGATCAAATCCATGCCCCTCCCCTCCAACTCCTCCCATATCTCCCCATCACTTTTTTCTGATAACTTTATCTATTATTTCTTCTTCTTTGATTTATTTACTTTTTTTAATGGGGCTTTTGGCTACTCTAACATTCCCCTCTCTGAAGAGGTAACCCTAAAATCTTTTAAGTATTAGATAAAAGCTCCCTAATTCTTTCAACATTTTTGGCCTTTGGAATGGAGTAGGTTGCTAAGAGGCCCAAGGACATTGTGAGTTTTAGAGAAACTGGCTACTTTTCTTTGGGGTCTTTTTTACCCTAACTGCCTAGCCAATTCCTACTTCCTATTCTTATCACACCATCCTCTGAAGAGGTTACCCAAATTGTCAGTAGGGAATTGGCATGCAGACTGCTCTGGCTTCTTCCATGCTGAACAGGGATGCAGAGTGAGGCAATTGGGGTACCCCTTCAGTGGGTCTATGTAAAAGACTCACAAATTGCATAACCCTTATCTCTAGGGAGAAAAGAAACTCCTTGACTGGTGAATAGGAGATGTGAAGGAAAAGTAAAGGCAAGAGTAATTAGCATTACAAGTTCTAGAAAGGGAACTAGAAAAAAGTCTTAACAGGGCAATTTTCAAATGTTCATATGAGAGCATTGGAATTTCTTGACAAGGACTTTCAAAAGCATCCCTCTATTGGTTTCCTCCTCATTTTTCTTTTGTCTTCCAAGGCTGGACTCTAGAGTGATGGATTCAGGATTTGCTTTCAGGTATTTTGATACCTTTGGAGTGGTTAGAATCAGTGTCAGTTCCCTCTCAAAGGCTTCTAGGTAGGGGGAGAAAACAAATTTATCCATCATTTTAGAACAATAGCTGGTTGTCTCCCTTAGCTACAGGTGGGGCACTACAGTATCTATTTCCTATTTAGATTGACTCTGAAATGGTTTCTAAAGTATGGTAGTTTTCAGTCAGTATGTTTTTTAATATTTTCAAGAAGTATTTAATACCCCATTGTACAGTGATTTAATTTTTTTCCTGTTATCTTAAAAACGGAATAACATGGGCAATTTACTGATTTGGTTTAAATAATGTAGAACCTTTCTTAAAATGTGCTTTAAAGCTGGGCATGGTGGCACACGCTTTTAATCCCAGCGCTCGGGAAGCAGAGGCATGTGGATCTCTGTGAGTTGGAGGCCAGCCTGGTCTACATAGTGAGTTCCAGGACAGCTGGAGCTACGGGGAGACCCTGTCTCAGAAAGACA